AGCAGTTGAGTACATATAGCAAACCCACTAAATTGGGATGTACTCACTATTGAGTACCCCACTGCAAGCTAGACAAAACATAACATTCTGACACACCCCCATAGCCAAAGTGGGGTGTAATCAGCACAACAAGAAAAGCAAAACAAGCTCAGGGTGGATCACAATGTCACCACACATTCTGAGCACAAGTACAAGCAGCAGCAGTTTATAGTTCACAAATATAAGCAAAGCTAGAGGCAGTCACAGAGGGCAAGTGAGGAGGAGGAGGCTAGACTGATAGGAAAGGAGAGAGGAGGCAACGGCTGAAGCTGCAGACACACGGGCAACAGGAGCGGCACGCACTGTGGCTACCGGAGATTGTAGCCTCCGGACTACTGGAGTAACTGGCTCCGCGACTAACTCTGAGCTGCAGGAGCAACGGACCCACGGGCGACTGGCGCAGCTGGCGACCGGAGATTGTAGCCTCCGGACTACTTACTCGCTGGGCTACCGGAGATTGTAGCCTCCGGACTACTGGCGCTGCTAGCGACACGACAGCTACCTCCCTTCAACCTCCCCCAAACTGTCCCACCCCCCTTTCACACACCCCCTGCTACACCTCTAACACTGCTCACACTCCACCCCCTAGCACCACTCCATTGTCTCCCACACATCCACCCCCCTCAGCGGCAGCTGCAGCAGTGGGAGACGGAGGAGGAGGAGGAGCAGGGGATGCCACACACCCGCCACCCCCCACTCGCCACCCCCAAACCCTAACACAGGGTAGGGCCGTAGAAGGCGGGTAGGGAGGGTACGGGAGGGGGGGGGGGGGGGGGGGGGGGGCAGGGCCGCGACGAAGACAGGAGGGGCCGACGCGTGGCCCCGCGCGGCCCCCCCCCAGGGTCGCCTCGACAGGCGACGGGAATTGGGCCGGGGCAGAGCCGGGGCAGGGTCGGGGCCGGGCTGCGACAGTGCAGGAGCAGGGCCGGGGCAGAGTCGGGGCCGGGGCAGGTCCGGGACGGGGCCGCAACAGGCCCCCCAGGTCGCCGCGACAGGCGACGAAACCCGCCGCGCGTCTCGGGGCGCACGACGGGCTGTGCACCGTCGCGCGCCACGGGGCGCACGACGGGCTGTGCACCGTCGCGCGCCACGGGGCGCACGACGGGCTTTGCACCGTCGCGCACGACGGGGCGCACGACGGGCAGGGCTCCGTCGCGCGCCAGCGGGGTGCACGACAGGCAAGCAGGCAGAAAACCGCCGCGCGCTCGAAGCGCGCGGCGGGAAGAAAAATTGCCGCGCGCCACGAGCGCGCGGCAAGCAGGCAGGGCGCGCCTCGGGCGCGCGATGGACAAAGTAGAAGCAGCAGAAGCATTGGGTGGGCCCATCCACAGGATCGACCCGTGAGGGTCGACCTGCTCTGATTCCATGTTAAGAAACAGCAGGAAGTTAGAAATGAGAAAGAGAGGTTTCACTAGCAAGCAGTTGAGTACATATAGCAAACCCACTAAATTGGGCTGTACTCACTATTGAGTACCCCACTGCAGGCTAGACAAAACATAACATTCTGACAAGTTCGTCACGCCGAATCAGTTTACGTTGCAGTGCGACAACCAGAGTGCGATTACCATCGCCAACAAACCCGGCTTCGTCAATCGCACGAAACATATTTCACTGCGTTACTTCTTCGTCAAGGATGCGATCAGCAAAGGGAGAATGCGCCTTGTCTACTGTCCCACTGGTGACATGGCAGCTGACTCACTTACCGTCATACCCCGGATATAAGCGCCACCCTCGGATAAGCGCCTGGCGCTTTTAATTGGCGCATGGCGCTTATATCCGCTGCTCGATTATAAGCGCACCCCCTGAAAAAACTTGTTTTATTATAAGCGCACGTAAACTTTAAATTTTGAAATGTGTTCAAAATGCTGTAACGATTTTTACTTTAGCAGGCGGATGTGTTGCAGATTCGGTTCCCTTCACATTCGGACCCTGCACTGGATGCGGGTCGAGTCAGCAGGAGCTCTCAGGAGCTGTCAGGAGCTGGATGTGAGTCAGATTGGGTGTATCTCCTAGCGCGCGCGAGATTTTCACAGACGACCCCATGTAACTTCGACTCGATTGGAAAGGCAAGCACGAGATCTACAGTTTGGTGTTAAAAAATAGAAAAAATATATATGTCCTTTTATAAACGCCGGCGCTTATAAATTTACTCGATTATAAGCCCACCCCCCTGAAAAAACCTTTTTTATTATTGCCCCCCATGGGGGTATATCCGGGGTATGACGGTACCAAGAAACTGACACGACAGAAGTTTCACCACTGCAACCAGCTCTGCGGCGTTTCTGAGACAACCGGGTAACTACACCGAACTCCTAGAAGTGAAGGGGAGTGTTGAGATAATATGAAGACTTAAGCACTTCAAGGATTCGTGTAGTACAGTGCGAGACTTCGCACGTAACAGTAAAGTACCGATAGGCTGACGTCAGCAAAGCGCTACGCACCCTAGGATGACGTCAGCACGTAACTATAGGCCTCGCGAATAGTCACGTACCGTTTCAGAACAGGAATAGCGAGAATAGCACAGTACAATAGGCGAAAAGGTACTTCACTCTAGCTATATATTCTGTATGCTTGTCATTTTATAATATATCTGATTTCAGAGACATTGATCCTGAAACATATCACTACATGGGCTTTCACTAGTCCAGACAAAGCCTCCTTAACTGGCTTTAATTCATACAAGACTTCCGCTACGACAGGAAGCTACCATCCTAAGTAATACGATCCTATTCAATCATTTCAAATTCTAACACAAATAACCTGTGGAGATTGTCTTTCAGGAAAATGACTGGTGAGAAGCTTAAGCTGCACCTTACACAACAACAGACAGCGCTCAAGATTTTTACTCAAATGTCCGAATTGTTTTTAGGTCTTGAAGCATGGCTTCGATCTGGTCATCATCAATCATTGGCTCCCTGCCATCCATCTGCACAGTCAAGATAGGGAAGGGGAGATGAGCGCGTTCCATCCCTTTCACAAATACTTGTCACTGTTCAGTGCTAAGTTGGGTAATGAACAATGAAGGCCGAAGTGCATTTGAAGTGTGGAGAAAAGGCATGAAAAAGAAACGTACAGCTAGTGAAGGCACGAGTGACTTGGCCTCATCCACAGTGTCAGGTGCCAGGTTGCCTATCACACACACCTGCACCAACACAATTGAAACACACGTCGTGAAGCACATTGTGCAGGGAGCTACACGCAAGGATGTACACCTGTCTTCAGCGAAAATGGTCAAGCATTGGAGGAGCTAGGGAGGGAGGTGGGGAAGAGAGGGAGGTTGAGGGATACCAGGCGGATGCAGCACTCACTTCAAATTCGTGCAGCTTGCCCTTGCCAGCCAATGCCCTGCCACAGCAGGACGTCAACCCACAATGTGATGTTAACCCATACCATGACAGCATTGCATGCTGAAACCGAGCGGGACTGGATTCTTGTGCGCTGGTGGACTTACTCCCTGACTTGCTTCACCGCTTGAGGGTTCTGATACCGGCTGAACCGTTTCACGTACTGTAGTGACTTCTCCAGCACCCTGCAAGAAGATTGTATGTATTGTCATGACTACTGTAGTACTGAAAGCTTGAAAGCGTCTGAGAGACCCTAATGACGTAACTCAGCTGCAGCCATGGCAGGGAGAGGAAAGTTAATGCAAGCTTCAACCAGGTACTCACGAATTAAGCTGTAGCATGGGATCAACGTTGTTTTCCCTGAGACTCTCGAGCTTCTTATCGAGGATGAGAGCCACCTCCGCGTTCATTAGACACTTGGCTCGACTGAACTCTGACACATCGAGGAAGTTAAGATTCGCGAAGCCGTAGGATCACAGATACGAGAGGGAAGAGAGTGCTAGGGTTAGCTGCGAAGGTGTCATGCTGGAGAAGCTAGACGCAGATGCGCCATGATGGAGCTACTAGGCTAGGGAATGGTATGACACCTGATCCGAGCTTCAATTGACCTGCGTCTTCCTCCTCCGCGACGTTTTCGGACGCCATGCTCTGGTGGAAGAGTGGAGCGAGGTGGACTAAAAGTTTCCAAAGAGCACTTCTACGAGATCAAAACTACTATGTTACGATAGACCGAAGTCAGGCAGACTTGAGAGTTTCGATTGAGGTCAGACACGGCTGCCTCGAGCCGTATTTGAGCAGCGACTGAATGCCAAAGCACGCAGTTTTCCCTATCCAAAAAAATGATGGTGCAGCACAGAACTTGGCAACAGAGTTCAAAATATCATCGTTTACAGAATTTACCAGCTCATGTTTCGTTAAAGCTAAAGTAGATATATGTTTCTGAAGTATACAGCGCGTACAACACATCATCGTGGCGTGGGCGAAATCCCCCTTCTGTTCCCATCCATCCATGGCCCTCGAGATCTCCAAATCCTCCAAATCCTCCAAATCCTCCAGCACAGATACAACTCCCGGCCATCTACGCCATTCCCCAATTTAGCTCTGGCGTTTACTGGCTGGGAGAAGCAAGTCCGAGGACGGACCAGGTTTTTGCCGGAAAGTCTTGTCCTTTTCTCGCGGTTTTTGCTAGTACGGCGTAATTGTCCGGATCTTAGTCGGAAATCTAGATCTTCGTGGTGCTGTGTGGGCGAGCCTTAGATTTCCGACATGGCTCCAGCCAAGGCTGCTGGAGCAGCGGGATCCGCTCCCGCTGCTCCCAAGTCCGCTACGGCGGAATTATTAGACACCCTTGAGGAGAAATTTCGGCTGACGACGAAGCAGCAGGAGCTCCTGATCCGCGTCGCTACCCTTCTGCTAATCTACATCCTAGCATTCGCGACTCGACTCTTCTCCGTGCTCCGTTACGAGAGCGTCATTCACGAGTTCGATCCCTATTTTAACTACCGGACCACGCTGTACCTCACCCGTAAGGGATTTTACGAGTTTTGGAACTGGTTTGACCACGAGACATGGTACCCGCTGGGTCGCATTATCGGATTCACTCTTTACCCTGGTCTCATGGTGACGTCAGCGGTTATCTACTGGGCTCTTCACGCGCTCTCATTGGTGGTTCACATCCGTGACGTATGCGTGATGACTGCTCCGTTCTTCGCGTCTAACACCGCCATGGTCGCCTATTTCTTCGGAAAGGAGATCCGCGATTCGGGAACCGGCCTTATCGCAGCGATCTTCCTGGCCATCTGCCCGGGTTACATTTCGCGATCCGTCGCAGGATCGTACGATTACGAGTGCATTGCGATTTTCGCGATGATCCTCACGTTCTTCCTCTTCGTGAAGGCCGTTAACACCGGCTCTCTCGCCTGGGCTGCCGGCGCCGCGCTCACTTACTTTTACATGGCAGCATCATGGGGAGGCTACATCTTTATTATCAATCTGATTCCGATCTACGTGGTGGTGCTGCTGATCACGGTTCGCTACACCCCTCGGCTCTATATCGCGTACAACGCGTTTTACATCATCGGAATGCTGCTGGCGATGCAAATCCGCTTCATCGGCTTCCAGCACGTGCAGTCCAGCGAGCACATGGCGGCTCTCGGCACCTTCTGCCTCATCCAGGTACGCACTTAGCAGATTTTCCGCTAGACACTTAGCGAGTTTTTTGCCGTTTTGCCTCATCCCTTAGCGAATTTCGGCTCATTCTCTCGCATTGAGATAGGCAGTTAGGCGGGTTTCGTCGCATTTTGTCAGATTAACGTAGATTTTGCATATTTTGAGCACATTCTCCCTCATCCAGGTAGTCAGTTAGCGAAATTCTGCACATTCTGTATCATTTCGGTACATTCCGGTAGCTGCTGAAAAACATGTCGTTGCTAGCAGCCCCGTTTCGTTTCCACTATTCCATGGCATCGCAACACCCAGACAAAAGACAGCAGTCAGGCAGTTAGCGCCATTCCGCGTCGTCCCGTCCCGTCTCATCCCGTCCCGTTCCTTCCCGTCCGTCCGCCCCGCCGGCAGGTGTTTTACTTCGTGGACTGGGTGAAGCACCAGCTGGCGGACCCGAAGCTCTTCCGCACCTTCCTGCGCGTCGTCGTCTTCTCCTTCGGTGGCGTCGGCTCCCTCGCTTTCGCTGTTGGCATGGCCACCGGTGAGAGATGGGCTATGCTGTGAAACAACACAGGGATTTGCGTGCGTGGTTGGTCGATGCATTCGCTCGTCGCATCCACTGCAGTGACGCACATTCCATTCTCTTATGACATGTCACACCCACCTGACCTCCTTTTAATCGTCTTTCATAACCGTCTGGCCTCCTTTATAACGCCTTTCACATCCATCTGGCCTCCTTTATAAAGCCTTTCACATCCGTCTGGCCTCCTTTATAACGCCTCTCACATCCGTCTGGCCTCCTTTGTATCGCCTCTCACATCCGTCTTGCCTCCGTGTTATCACCCCTTGCGCTCGTGTGAGCTCCGTCTGATTGCCTCACGCCTTCCTCTCCTAACCCCTGCTTTTCTTTCGTGCATCACTCTTTCACGTTTTCTCCCCCTCTCCCTCCTTCCCCGTCTATCCCGCACTCCCCTCTCCCCCTCTCCCCTCTCCCCCTCTCCGCTCTCCCCTCCTCCCGCTTGCCCGTCTCGCCTCTTGCCCTCTCCCCCTTCCCCGTCTCGCCTCTTCCCCTCTCCTCCTTCCCTGTCTCGCCTCTTCACCTCTCCCCCTTCCACTCTCAACTCTACTCGCTGCTGGACCCCACGTACGCCAAAGACAACATCCCCGTCATCGCATCCGTGTGTCCCGCCGTGTCCCTCCGTTTCCCTCCCTTCCTTCTCTCCCCTCTCCCCAACTTTCTCTGGCAGGTTACATCTCGCCGTGGACGGGGCGGTTCTACTCGCTGCTGGACCCCACGTACGCCAAGGACAACATCCCCATCATCGTCTCTGTCTCCCTCCGTGTCCCTCCGTGTCCCTCCCTTCCTTCTTTCCCCTCTCCCCTCTCCCCAACCTTCCTTCTCCCGCTGTCACCCCCCTGCGTGCCAGGTTACATCTCCCCCTGGACGGGGCTTTTCTACTCGCTGCTGGACCCCACGTACGCCAAAGACAACATCCCCATCATCGCCTCTGTCTCCCTCCGTCTCCCTCCGTCTCCCTCCATCTCCCTCCGTGCCACTCCCTTCCCTCTCTCCCCTCTCCCCAACTTTCCTTCTCCTGCTGCCCTCCCCACACGCGCCAGGTTACATATCGCCGTGGACGGGGCGGTTCTACTCGCTGCTGGACCCCACGTACGCCAAGGACAACATCCCCATCATCGCCTCCATGTGTCCTTCCGTGTCCCTCCCTTCCTTCTCTCCCATCTCATCTTTCCCTTGCCCGTGCTCCCCCCTGCGCCCCAGGCTACATCTCGCCGTGGACGGGGCGGTTCTACTCGCTGCTGGACCCCACGTACACCAAGGACAACATCCCCATCATCGCCTCCATGTGTCCTTCCGTGTCCCTCCCTTCCTTCTCTCCCATCTCATCTTTCCCTTGCCCGTGCTCCCCCCTGCGCCCCAGGCTACATCTCGCCGTGGACGGGGCGGTTCTACTCGCTGCTGGACCCCACGTACGCCAAGGACAACATCCCCATCATTGCGTCCGTGTCGGAGCACCAGCCCACCGCCTGGTCCTCCTTCTTCTTCGACTTCCACATCCTCCTCATCCTCTTCCCCGCTGGTAAGTTCCGCATTCCCGGCCCCGCTCCCCATAAATGCTCTTTCCCCCCTCCCTCCCGCCCCTTCCCCCCCTCTTTACTTCCCCTTTGGCCTCCCTCCCTCCCTCCCGCTGCTCCCCTCCCTCTTTTCTTCCCCTCTTCGTTGTCACATTTCAAAGAGAAAACTGTATTTTCCACCATGCACTCTCCTCCCTGTCGCCTCCTTCTCCCCAAACCCCCGTTCTCCCCCCCTTGCTTTGCTCCGTATCTGTGTCTTCCCCTATGTGCCAACCCCCCACCGTGTCCACCTTCCACCCGCCCCTCCTCTCCCCCCACCTCTCCCCGTGCCAAATCCTCCTCCTCCCTCCATGCCAAACCCCCCACTGTGCCAAAACCTCCCTTTCCATGGCAACTTGCCCAGGGCTCTACTTCTGCTTCAAGCGTCTGAACGATGCGTCCATGTTTGTGATCATCTACGGGCTGACAGCCATGTACTTCGCGGGCGTCATGGTGCGCCTCATCCTCGTCGCCACGCCCGCCCTCTGCCTGCTCGGCGCCGTCGCCGTCAGCGCCTCCCTCTCCCGCCTCTCCGCCATCGCCCGCGAGAAGACCCCTGAGCCTGCTGCCAGTGCCGCTGCTGCTCCCAGCTCTGGGAAGCTGTCTGGGAAGGCGAGGGACAAGCTGAAGGTGAGTGGGGATGCATGGACGGAACACTGGGCTTGCCATGTGTCTGTAGCAGCCCTGGCTTCTTGTATTCATGCGACTCACCCTTCTCTCCCTTTTATCTTTGCGTCTCAACCGCTGCCACTCCCCTTCCGCCCGCGCCCGCCCTCGGCTCGCCACAGGGTGCGCAGGACAGCTCGCTGCCGTACCAGAAGGAGGGCGCGGTGGTGCTTATAGCGGGGATATTCTTCTGCCTCATCAACTTCGCTCCGAATTTGCACTCTTCCCTTCTCGTCTTTTCCATTCCTCTTCTCCACTTTTTATGTATTGCTCAACTTGCTGCCCCTTCCCATCCCCCTGCGCGTGTCCTCTGCCCATGAAACAGGGTGCGCAGGACAGCTCGCTGCCGTACCAGAAGGAGGGCGCGGTGGTGCTGATAGCGGGGATATTCTTCTGCCTCATCAGCTTCGCGCGGCACTGCACGTGGGTGACGTCAGAGGCGTACTCGTCCCCGTCCATTGTGCTCATGGCCCGCCAGCACAACGGCGACCGTGTCATCTTTGATGACTTCCGTGAGGCCTACTTCTGGCTCAAACACAACACCAAGCCCGACGCCAAGGTGCGTGGGGGTGTGTGCGTGTGTGTGTGCGTGCATGCGTGCGTGCGTGTGTTGGGGGGGAAGGGGAGGGAGGTGGGTGGGTGGGTGGGTGACGTCAGAGGCGTACTCGTCCCCGTCCATTGTGCTCATGGCCCGCCAGCACAACGGCGACCATGTCATCTTTGATGACTTCCGTGAAGCCTACTTCTGGCTCAAGCACAACACCAAGCCAGATGCTAAAGTGCGTGTGTGTGTAGCTCAACGCCAAGCCCTGGTGGCCGCCTGGGGGGTGGGGCTGGGCGGGGCAGAGGGTGTAATTTAGGTGCCTAATTAAACGCCCCTCTTCCTCTCCATCCTCTACCCCTGTCTTCTCCTCTCCTCATCCACCCCCATCCCCTCCAGGTGATGTCGTGGTGGGACTGTGGGTATCAGATCACGGCAATGGCCAACCACACAGTGTGATAGTGGTCAACAACACGTGGAACAACACGCACATCGCCACCTGCCCTCCCTCCCCCCATGCTACATTCCCTCTCCCCCCGCAACCTTTGAGGCGCCTCAAAAGTAAACTCTCCCCCCGCAACCCCCTGCAGGTGATGTCTTGGTGGGTCTACGGGTATCAGGCCACGGCAAAATGAGGCCCATCAAACAAAACTTCCCTCCTCCCCCTCCCCTCCCACCCCTCTGCAGGTGATGTCGTGGTGGGACTACGGGTATCAGATCACAGCAATGGCAAACCGCACAGTCATAGTGGACAACAACACGTGGAGCAACACTCACATCGCCACCTGCCCTTCCAGACCACAGCAATGTCCAATCGCACTCAAGGCACCTAAACGAACGCCCCTCTTCCTCCGCCCTTCTCCACTCCCCCCTCTACAACCCCCCCTCTCCGTCCCCCATCCCTCCCCTCCTCTCCTTCCCTCCAGGTGATGTCATGGTGGGACTACGGGTATCAGATCACGGCGATGGCGAACCGCACAGTGATAGTGGACAACAACACGTGGAACAACACGCACATCGCCACTGTGGGGCGCGCCATGGCCTCCTACGAGGAGCAGGCGTATGGCATCATGCAGCAGCTGGACGTGGATTACGTGCTCGTGGTGTTCGGTGGGGTCACAGGGTACTCGTCCGATGATATCAACAAGTGAGTGGGTTCTGCTCTGCTCTGTGTGCTGTTGGGTGGGACTCGCTATGCCGTGGTGTTCCCTCGTACGAGGAGCAGGCGTATGGCATCATGCAGCAGCTGGACGTTGATTACGTGCTCGTGGTGTTTGGAGGAGTCACGGGTTATTCCTCCGACGATATTAACAAGTGAGCCGCGTTTCCTTGCATGCTGTTGGGTAGGGATTGAGAGTGGTTGAGATGGGTTGTGAGGGTCAGGCAGCAGCGTTTGTCTCTGTGGGTGAGTCATGCTATGGCTTGTGGGACAAGGAGCAGGCGTATGGCATCATACAACAGCTGGACGTGGACTATGTGCTCGTGGTGTTTGGTGGAGTCACAGGGTACTCGTCCGATGATATCAACAAGTGAGTGGGCTTGGCTCTGCTCTGTGTGCTGTTGGGGTGCGACTCGCCATGCCGTGGTGTGGCCTCGTACAAGGAGCAGGCGTACGGCATCATACAGCAGCTGGACGTGGACTATGTGCTCGTGGTGTTCGGGGGGGTCATGGGTTACTCGTCCGATGATATCAACAAGGGAGTTCCATTTACAGGCGAGACACCACGTCCTTCTTTCCTCCTCTCCTTTCACTCCTCCCCCCACCTCCCGCCACACCTCTCCCTTTCCCTCCCCTCGCTCTCTCCCTCCCCTTTCTCATGTACCAGTGGATGGTGCGCATAGGAGGTGTATTCCCATAACCTCTCCCCTCCCCTCCCCTCCGTCTTCTCTCCCCTCCCCTCCGTCTTCTCTCCCCTCCCCTCCGTCTTCTCTCCCCTCCCCTCCGTCTTCTCTCCCCTCCCCCTTACTCTCCCCCATCAGGTTCCTGTGGATGGTGCGTATCGGAGGGGGTGTGTTCCCGGACATTAAGGAGCCGGACTATCTCAACAATGGGGACTATCGTACCGACGCCAATGGCTCGCCCAAGATGCTCAACTGCCTCATGTGAGTGCCGCCTTGAGACGTTTCAAAACGGTGGTGCCTCGTGTGATGTGAGGTTCGAGTCATTTCGAAACGTGTGCCTGTCTGCACCCGTGGCTGGCTCATGCGTTCCGCGGCGCAGTCGCATCTTAGCCTGCGTTACGGAACACCTTGTGCCATGCGCATGCACCATGTGTCCTGTCCCATGGCCAAGGCTCCTCATTGTGCCATCACCTCGAGCTCATATCCCCTTCCATTGCCCTTTGCAACTCGTTTGGCCCACATTTCCTCTGCTCTATTGCATGCCCGCTGACGAGTCTCCTTGTCCCTGCCTGCCGGCCTTCCCCACGTCTTGTTCCATGCCACCCACCCGCTGGTTTGGGGATGGGTGTGGGTGCGGGTGCATCGTACTTGGCGGGGTTGTTGGCTGTGTATGTGTGGCTGTGACAACAGGTACAAGATGTGCTACTACCGCTTTGGCGAGCTGCAAACGGAATATGGCAAGCCAACCGGGTGAGTGAGAGGTCAGGGAAAGGGAGTGAGTGAGGAAGTACCAAGGAATCTCTGTTGCTTCAACATCCGCACCATGTGTACTTGAGCGGGCATGGAGGGCCCCCTAGGCCCTATAATTGCCATGCGCTGTGACCAAAGCTTCCTTCCCCCTTCCCTCTCCCCCCTCCCTCCCACGCAGGTGGGACCGAGCACGAGGGTACGAGATAGGCAACAAGGACATAGAGCTGGAGTACATTGAAGAGGCGTTCACCCTCCCCTCATCTGCCTTTCCCCCCTCGTTGTCTCCTCCCCCCTTCACCTCACACAGGTGGGACCGGGCGCGCGGGTACGAGATAGGCAACAAGGACATCGAGCTGGAGTACATCGAGGAGGCGTTCACGTCGGCCAACTGGATCGTGCGCATCTACCGCGTCAAGCAGCCCGACAACCGCTGGTAGCACAGCACACCCACGCACGCCCTGCTGGGGCCGCTGGGACAGCAGCAAGAGCACAGGAACAGGGGGCAGCAGCGGAGCAGGGGATGTGGTGGCAGACACAGGGACCGGAAAACAGGTGGTGGCAGGCACAGGGACCCGAAAACAGGTGGTGGTCGAGGGTATTGAACTCGGCATTCCCTGGTGGTGGGGGGTGAGGGAGATAGGGTGGGTGATCAACCAGCCAGGCAACTGGACAACCAATCAGCTAAGCAACCAGCTGGTTGCAGCAGCCTGGTGTGAAAACCTCTCCCACTACTGTCCCTCCCTGCTTGCCATCTGCTCAGGGTTGACCCATCACTGGGATAGTTTTCATGTCTGCCTGTTTGGTTCCGTGCAAATCAGCAGGAGGTGGTGGTGGACTGGAAACAGTGGGTGGGGCATCTTGTTGGGTTGGGTTGTGCTGTTGCAGGTGTTACCATATCTTCAGCTGTCCACATGGCACGGCAGCATTGGGTTGCTAGGGGGTGGTCTTCCGAGTTTCCAGCGTGGCCCATGATGAGAATGTGATTTGATTTTACTGATGCACTGTGACGTGTCACGTGAATGCTGCTTCGAGTACTGCTTGTTGAGTCTGCCTTCAAGGGATTCACTAAGATGAGATATGGCACAAACAACAAATGCATTGCAAGGTGAGGAATTACAGTGGGCAGTACCCACCTCCCCTGCTTAACCTTGCACCCCTCCGCTTCATCCTTTGGCTTAAAGTCATGCTTGAAATTTTCACCCCTGTGCTGCTCCCCCCGAAAGTCATGCATTCCGCTTCTCCTCTCCTAGTCCTTCTGCCTATTCTGTCTGTCCTTGCGCTTGCTGCAAGCGATTGGAAATGGCAAGAGCGAGCGCATAGGCTTGCTTGCGCTTCACTCGCAGAGCATCTGCAGCCATCCTAGCAGCCTGCACAGGGGCAGGGGCACGAGCAGGTACATGTATGCCCCGGTGGCACCCAAACACCAGCAGCACACCACGACGAATGGGTGCGGCGGTTAGGATGAGCGTGATTGAGTGTGATTTTGCTGTGTTGAAATGGAATCCTGCAGAATAAGGTGAAGCTGCTTTAATGAACAGCCTGTGAACTAACCTGGGAGGGGGGTGTGCCGTCGTGAATCAGCTTCTCAAGATAAGCGGTCACCTCCTCCTCCCCTGTCTGCTGCGATGCCTCCAGGTCCTTTCGGGGGAGGCCATCGATTACCAGGGTGAATTCCCCTTTTGGCCCACGGGCCGTGAACTCCGCAAGTGCTTCAGAGAGAGTCCCTCGCCACAGCTGAACAAGAGAGCGGGCAAACACAACATTGCGGGCAGTGTTCAGCTAAGGACAAACAGAACAAATTGTCTTGAAGACAGTGTGTTTGAGTGGATGAGAGAATGATGCGGTATGTGGATGTGGGGAAAAGAAGGAGAATCATGGAGCATGAACTCCATACGTCAATGTAAGTGCTAAATTTTCAAGAATCACCGAACCTCTTCGTGCAGCTTGGTAAGCTCCCGAGCCACGAGGCACGGGCGGTCTGGGCCAAAGGCGTGGATGCAGTGGGAGAGCGAGGAGAGCAGCTTGTGCGGCGCCACAAACAGCACCTGCATCGCCTCCCCCTCCGCTGCTTCCTTTAGACGACGTTGCCGCACTGCCGATCGCTCTGAGAGGAACCCCACTGTGGGGCGTGGAGACGCGGACAATGGGGAGGGGCGTGGTGGGTGGGAAGGTGAGGGGACGGGCATGGGAAGGGGTGCAGATGGGAAGAAAGGGGGGTTGACAATGGGAACGCGGAGAGCAGCTTGTGCGGCGCCACAAACACCACCTGCATCGCCTCCCCCTCCACTGCTTCCCGCAGTCGACGCTGCCTCACTGCCGATCGCTCCGGGAGGAACCCCACTGCCGTAAGTCGCAGAAAAGGAGAGGAGAGGAGAGGAGAGGATAGGAGAGGAGAGGCAGGAGTGACGTGCCAGAAGAGGGTTGGAATTGAGAGAACATTTCTACATAAGGCCCCACAGCACATCACAGTACAGCACAGCACAGTACATCACAGCACAGTACAGCACAGCACAGTACATCACAGCACAGTACATCACAGCACAGTACAGCACAGCACCCCACAGCAGAGCACGGAACCCACACGGAACGCACAGAAGGTGAAGCCGTTGGTGAGAAAGCCAGCAGCCGCAACCGCAGTGGTGGCAGCAGACGGGCCGGGAATCACGCTGACTGGGACTGCTGACTCAGCACACGCGGCGACCAGGTCAGCACCGGGATCGCTGACGCCCGGCATGCCTGCGTCAGACACGAGCGCCAGCGATTGGCCGGATCGCATCCGACCAATGAGAGCCTCTCGACGAGCTGTGGCATTGAAGGCATGATAGCTCATCTGCACATTGTACAGTACAGACGGGGGGAAGTAATAGCTCATTTGAATGTTGTAACAGGCAGAAAAAGGGAGGGGGCAGGGGAGAGAGGGAAAGAAAGGAGCGTGTGTTCTCAACACGTAGGATCCTCAAGCCAACAAAAAAAAGCAGCGCACCATGGGTGTAGTGATGCCGTAGAAGCGCAGTAACTTGACCGAGCGGCGCGTGTCCTCTGCGAGAATGAGGTCGGCACAGCGCAGCACCCTCAGCGCCCTGGTGGGGGCAGAGGGATGTGGTGCGGTGGTGTGGGGTGGTGATGGGGGGATGGTGGTGTGGGATGGTGGGCTGGGATGGTCGGCACAGCGCAACACCTGATGGTAACCACACCCATCTGATGGTAACCACACTCACTTGATGGTAACCCCACCCACCTGATGGTAACATCTTCTAGGTTGCCGATAGGTGTTCCTACCAGATACAGTCCAGGTGCCAACCTCAGCTGCAGGTATGCACAGAGAATCAAGAGGGGGGGGGGGGAGGGGGGGAGGAAGTGGGGGAGTTTGAGGCGCCTCAGAAGTTGCCGATAGGTGTTCCCACCAGATACAATCTAGGTGCCAAGCGCAGCTGCAGGGGTGCATGATGGTTGACCGAGGGGAGAGGGAAGGGGAGTGTGTGGGAGGGGGATGGGGAGGGGAAAGGTTAGGTGGGGCAAATGAGGGCAAGTACAGAGATTCAGGATAAGGAGGGGGGGAGTTGTAAAAGGCATGGTGCTCCTTGGAACCACGTGGAACCACGTGGGACCACTTGGAATCACACAGATTCCTACACAAACAGGTGATACCTTGTCCGGCCATTTGCACATGTCCTCGTTATAGAGCCGTTCGTTTCTGCCTTCTCCGTCCTCTCCTAATACCTCCTCCTCCCCAGCTCCTTCAGCCTCGCTGACCCCCCTCAACATCAACTCCTCCGTGTCGCCTTCCCCCGTGTCGCCTTCCTCCGTGCCGCCCATTGCGCTGCGCCTCTCGGCTTGCGCCCGATAGATCTCGCTGTCGTCAGCCGACGCCCCGCCAACTGGGGCAGAATCGTGTCGCGTTATTCCGCTAGCCGTCACTCCGCCGCGCTGCGCGTATCTAAAACCCCTCTCCAAACCCGCGTAGAACCCGCGAGTGCACAGAAACGCTCTTCTCCGTTGGCCACGCGGTCTTGCATTCCATGGCTGCCTCGAATCTCCTTCAAGTGAACCTATCCGCCCGTGTTTCCCAGCCACATTTGTGAATTCTAGAGAAGCAATCGAAACTTGACACCTTATTTGCTTTGTTCTTCGCGGGGGAAACGGAGTTACGGTGCGAGTTAGCTTTCCTGCGGCCCTTAAAATTACCAGCTTGCCCTCAACGTGCGCTGCAGCCATGGCACCTCGTCAGTCAACAGTTCGGAAGTATAGGCACGTCGGAGAAGGCGAGTTGCGGCGAATCTGGCGACAACTCGTGAGGTGGGCCTTTGAGATTCAGTAGATTCTCGTTCTCCGCACAAATCGCCATGAAATGCGGCGCGTGTTGTGGCATCGGGGGGAACTCGAGAATTCAATTGCTGGCACATGATGCCATTTGTAAGGAAAAATCCTTTTCCTTACTTCGCGTCCCTGCTCAGCGCGTACAACACTGACAGCACCCCACAACATTCCGTTACCACTCGCGACATTCTCCTCGACACCATTCCCGCCACTGTTCACGATGCGACCTAACCACACGGTTCGGTTGGTAACCCGCGCTCCGGACCTCCGCCTCGACAGTTCCCCAAACCTCGGCATTAGGCCCGTCGCGCACCCCAATTTCCCACGTTACCGTTACCACCATTTTCGCTATATATTCTTCGCTCATTCCTTCGCTCAAATGTATCTTGTCTCGATAGTGCAATCCTCCCTCGCTCACTCAATTGCACTCGTAACACTTGGTTATCAGAGCCTACGATCTTCTCTCGGACCGCACCCACACCTTCGCTTCCCCACTATCATTTTTTTTGGGGGGGGTATACGTCTCTCAGCGATCGAGCACCGCCGCTCGTAGTGCTCTCTCGAAAGCACGCACGGCCACGACAGAGGCTCTCGCTGAGTTTGCCCGACACCCCCGCCATGGCATAACTCAACGTCGCGACACTGACACAGGAGCAATTAGATCGGCTCATGCGCCAACTCGAAGAATCGGCGCTTGAAATCGCCACACTCACGGCGGAACGCGACTCCGCTCGCCAACAATCGACAGTGAATGCACCACCGCCAACACACGAACCTGCACATTCTGAGGAGCCGATTGTCATCTCCTCCGGCACACCGACACAAACTGACAGCGTGGGACAACGCTCAGGCGCAGCCAGTGAAGGTGCCGCTCACTCGATGCCGGGCATGGAGAGAAACAGGACCGCACCAAGCCCACGGGAGCCCCGCGAGTCCCGTCGGCACGTGGAATTTGCGGCGACAAGTGGCGAATACGCCGTCACAGCACCAATGCCACTCAAGCCGCAGCGTCCACCCTGTTTCGACCCGAGCCAGCGTGGGGGTCCGACGGTTCAGTCGTGGGTCTTCACGATGAACGTGTTTTTCGACGCCAATTACGTCGAGTCGGACGCAGCGAAGATTCGCTATGCTGTTTCGCTGCTGAGGGGCCCCGCCATGGACTGGTGGCGAGTCATCGTGACGTCGCCACGCGGCTACGAGCCACCGTCGCACGAAGACGGGCCCACGGGCCGAGCCGTCACCTGGAGTTCATTCTGCGAGACAGCCCAGTACAGCACGTGGGATGCGTGGTGCGCAGGGCTTCTGGCGCGTTTCGAGCCGATCGCGGCTTCGATTTTGGCGCGTCAGAAGCTGCGCACTTGGCGGCAGCTCAGGTCGGTTCAAGATTACACTAGCGGCTTTCTCGCACTATGCGAACAAGTCGGCTATATGCACGAAGCGGAGCGGGTGGACCGTTACGTCGGAGGGCTTAAGCCAGACATATTGCACGAAATTATGCTACGCGGGCTCTCAAATTTCAACGAGATCCTCGCGCTCGCTGAGAAAATCGACATCCTACGGCGACCGAGACCGGGGTCCTACTACGGACAACGTCCTCGGGGACCGACCGAGCACGCCACCGTACACGCCGTTGCGACGAATGCAGCTGCCGCACCGTTTAAGGGGCACTGCTTTGCTTGCAATAGGCCGGGCCATCGCAAAAGTGAATGTCCAGAGGAGCTAAGGCGCCGTGGAACAGAGCAGGGGCGAGAGTCTCAGAGGCCGGGAAACGCCAGCAGTCAGTAGAAGTTGGGCCACCTACTGACGAGACTGCCTGCTCGCCCAACTTCACCGACCCTCACCGAGTCACAGTACCGATTCACGCTATCGATCGGGCTTGGACGAATAAGGAGGGTACAGCGACGGATTGCCCAATACTGATTCACGGGAAAATACAGGGAGCAGCAGTGAAGATTTTTATAGACGGAGGTGCAAGTCACAGCTTAGTTAATACCGCGACTGCAAAAAAACTGCAACTGTCACTTAGTCGGTGCTTACCAGAGATCGATGCACGCTTACTTGACGGAACGCCGCTGGCCATACGGGAGAAAGTGGAAAGAGTAAAAGTCCGCTGTGTGGGGGGAATTTCGGGTTTACACAGGAAATGCTCGCGACGACATTGGATGGGCACGACATTTTACTGGGACGTGATTGGCTGCGACGATACAACCCGCGAATCGACTGGACGACAGGCAGCGGCACTGTGCGAAGTAGCGGTAACTGGGTGGAGCTACCTCGCTGGCAGTCGCCTGAGTCTTCAACGGTTCACGTCAACGCCATCACGATGAAACGGGCTGTCGCCGCTGGAGCTGACGTGTACGCAGTGGATATCGCGATAGTGGAAGAAACAGACAAGCCGAGTGATTTTCAGAAACTACTAGCGGCAGTACCATCGGAACTACAGGAACTGTTGAAACGATTCTCGGGAATCTTCCCTGACGACTTACCCGAGGGACTGCCACCTCAGCGGGCGCACGATCACCTAATAGAATTAGAGCCCAGGGCACAGCCAACCGTACAGCGACAGTTCAAGCTGACACAGCCCGAGTTCGACGAGCTAAGGAAGCAGTTAGATTACATGTTAGAGAAAAAATTCATCCGACCGAGCTCATCGCCATTCGCCGCACCGATACTGTTCACACCGAAAAAGGACGACGGGTTTCGCATGTGTATCGACTACCGAGCACTGAACAGGGTTACAGTTAAATCGCGATACCCCATCCCCCGAGCTGACGAACCGATAGATCAACTACGAACAGCACGAGTCTTTTCGAAAATTGACTTACGGGGAGGTTACCACCAGATTAGGGTCGAACCGTCGGACTGCGCCAAAATAGCTTTTAGGACTAGGTACGGGTCTTTCGAATACACGGTGATGCCTTTCGGGCTGACCAACGCACCGGCGACTTTTGAGATGACGATGAATGAGGCATTTCGGCCACTCTTAGATAAATGCGTAATTATCTACCTCGACGACATCCTAGTCTACAGTCGGGATAAGCAGCAGCACTTAGAAGATTTAGAAGCAGCATTTACAGTTCTAGACAAACACAGACTACTGGCAAAGGGTTCCAAGTGCGAGTTTTTTCAGGACAGGCTAGAGTTTTTGGGGCACGTTATTTCGGAGGCTGGAGTAGAAATCGACCCGAAGAAATTGGACACGGTAAAAGCGTGGCACCCCCCGACGAACATCACGGAACTGCAGAGTTTTTTGGGTTTTGTTAATTACGTGCGCCGATTCGTCCCCGACATGGCACGCTTAACGGCCCCGCTTACGGATTTGCCGAGGAAGGGGGTCGCTTGTACGTGGGGGGAGAAAGAGCATGCTGCTTTCTCCACCCTAAAAAATGTTCTCTGTTCACCGCCCGTACTGCGCATCGCCGACCCACACCGCCCATTCGAAGTGGTTACTGACGCAAGCGACATCGCCATCGGCGCCGTACTACTACAGGACTTCGGCAACGGGTTACAGCCCATCGCCTACGAATCACGAAAGCTGCATCCGCCCGAGAAGAATTATCCGATACACGATCGCGAAATGCTTGCGATCGTGCATGCGTTCAAAGTGTGGCGCTGTTACTTGACCGGTGCCGATGTGACAGTACGGACAGATCACAAGTCACTACAGTACCTCCGCACACAACCCACCTCAACCCACGACAAATCCGCTGGCTCGACTACCTCGAGTCGATTTTTCACTACACGGTCACCTACAAAAAGGGGGCATCGAACATCGCCGACGCATTAACCCGACCCACAGCCCAAGTTCACGCAATACTACTCGCCCAAACCAGCCCACTGTTAACAGGCCTATGTACCCACGGTTACCAGACTGATCCATTTTTCACAGGCGGAAACTCAAAGCAGTTTGCAGCAGCAAGAGGAGTCTATTACGTAAAAGCCGGCACTAATCGCATCTGGGTACCGGGCTACACGCTCCTACGGGAATTACTGTTGCAGGAGGCACATGACGGAGTTACCTCAGGGCATTTCGGAGTAGAGAAAACACGGCAGCAGCTGCAGTGGTACTACTACTGGCCTGAAATGTTGACCGACGTGCAACGACACGTGGCATCGTGTCCCACCTGCCAGGTCATGAAATCATCACGGAAGCGGCCGGCAGGACAATTGCAGCCGATACCACCCCTAGAGCGTGCTTGGCAGCACGTGACGATGGACTTCGTCACGGGGTTACTGGCGGGTGCAAGTGGGAACGACGCGATCTTGGTCGTCGTCGATCGACTGACGAAAATGGCACATTTCGCAGCATGCAAGAAATCAATCACATCCGAAGAAACGGCTTGCCTCTTCATCGCAACCGTTGTTCGATTACATGGGATACCAGCAGCGATAATCAGCGACCGAGATACGAAGTTTACCAGCAATTTCTTGCGGAACCTGTGGCAGCAGTTCGGCACGAGGCTGCAGTTCAGTTCTTCGTACCACCCCGAAACCGACGG